ATTACTCGTTCTACTAGTAAACCCGCACAACAATCCCATGACATGTGTAATATCGAGTTTAGTACAATTAATAAAATACCTAAGACTTCCAATGATGCTCGCATATTCTGTTTGTCTAACACTTTCACCAGTGTTCTTAAACAGCTTCACAATTGGATCATATGGTGTGCTCACAGGTTTACTGTCAAAGTAATTATATTTCTTTAAGATCTTTTTCACATATTGTGATTGATCCAAAGAAATTCTTTGCTCGGATCTCGTGATCTTGATACCAAGGATCACACTTGCTTCTCCGAGGTCTTTCATATCAAAATTGTTGCACAATAGTGATTTCACATCATTAATGGTCTGAATGTTTGATCCAAATATGAGTAGATCGTCTACATAGAGACATATGATAGTGCATATGCGATTTTCAGATTTATAGTAAACACATTTGTCACTTTCATTCACTTTGTACCCATTTGATATCATTAAGTTATCAAACTTTTCATGCCATTGATTATGAGCTTGTTTTAGTCCATACAAAGACTTATCTAACCTACAGACCTTGTTTTCTTGTCCATAGATCACAAACTCTTCCGGTTGTTTCATATAGATTTTTTCTTCTAAGTCACCATTTAAAAAAGCTGTTTTAACATCCATTTGGTGTACTATTAAGTTATAAATAGCAACTATTGAAATAAGTACCCTAATGGATGTAATTCTAGTGACAGGAGAAAAGGTGTCGAAAAGACCTATATTTTATCTTTGTCTAAAACCTTTGGCAACAAGGCGAGCCTTGTATTTATCAATAGTTCCATCAGGTTTTAGTTTATTTTTCAAAACTCATTTACAACCAATTGGTTTGCAACCAGGAGGCAAGTCTACTAAGTGCCAGGTCTTGTTAGATTCTAGAGATTCTATCTCATCATTGATAGTTTCTTGCCATAAATCAACATCCAGAGATGGCAAGGCTTCTTGAAGATTCATTGGATCTTCTTCTACATTATAAGCCGCATAATCAGGCACATAGTCTTTAGCAACTCTTCCTCGTTTACTTCGTCAAAGTTCGGTTTCTACATTTTCGTTGCTTTCTGTGCTTCTTATCACGGGAATGTGACTCGATTCTGTGCCCCCGCTATTTCTTAATTTGAAAGGAAATCTGTCTTCATAGAATTCAACATCATTTGATTCTATGATCACTTTTTCCTTTAGGTCATAAAACCTATATGCTTTACTGTTTACTGCATACCCAATGAAAACACATCCATATGCTCTACTAGCGAGTTTAACTCGTTTCGAATCCGGAATTCTGACATAAGCCAGACAGTCCCAAGTTCTCAAATAAGACAAGTTTGGTTGTCTTTTCTTTAATATCTCATAATGAGAGATCTTACATTTTTACTTGGGGACTCTATTCAGGACATAGCAAATAGTCAATAAAATTTCCCCCACTAGTGAGGTGCAACACTAGAATTTAACATAATTGCAACAAGTTCAGTAAGAGTTCTATTCTTTCTTTCTGCTTTACCATTCATTGCAAGATAGTATGGTGCAGCCGTTTCATGTACAATTCCATGTATAAAATTCATTAATAAACTAGAATCATACAGTTTCTCTATCACTACAAATTCTTATTATATCATTTTCAAATTCTTTACAAAAATTTTAAACATATAAACTTCATTCTTCATAATGGCGTACAAATCTACCCCAATAGACTGACTAATTCCTGTCTTATTTAAAAGAAAACCATAAATAATATTTTTTCTAATCTTAGGAACATGTATAACATTCTTTAAGATTAAAGTATTTTTGAAAGTGAAATTTAGCTACATGTCTACAATTCCAGCAACATTTGTGGTCTAGCCATCTCCCAACAACACTTTCTTATCTTTAGTATTCGTGTATGTTTTAAACATAACACGATCATAACAGACACAACGAGAGACGCAAGTGTCTATCCACCAGCCAACATATCCATCAACCATGTTGATTTTAATAACTGTAGCAATAAATTGCCCACTAGTCAGATTGACCTGTGCATTATGGACAACACCAAGTTCAAGCTTACTTCTATATTTCTTAATCATATGACTTGATTTTCCATAGTTAAAACAAAGGGAAACCAACGTTATATATTTTAGGTGGTGGTTGTTTCCTAGTTGGAGCTATTGAGATCATAGAAGGGTTCTCATTCTTAATTTGGTTTATAATATTGCGGTTCTGATTCTTTAATCATTTGTCAAATGGCTTCAGAACTACACTGAGTTTCTTTTTATTGTTTGAAACAACCAAGACTTTTTCTTTTTGATATTGTCTCTAAGATTCCATTTTTTTTAACTCAAGGTGAATAATCAGATTCTCAATCAAAAATTATTTTGTTTTGTGGCGAAGCAAAGTTTTTTTTAAAAAAACATTCAAACTATGGGGTAGTTTGTCAATAATAAAATCAATTTGAAATTGTTCATTTAAACACATATCTTTTGTGATGATCTTTTAAGCAATCTTTTGAAGTTCATAACGTTGAACCTCTATCGACCTTACATCTTTGCATTTGATACATGAAGTAGCGGCTAACAACATACTTCTTTGCTCCAGCTGCTACGTCATACTTCTTTTTTCCGAGCCTTTCAATCTTGTTTTGCAGTATCACATCAACTGCAATTATCATACAGATCATCTACGAGTCTATTCAAAATATGATTTTGTAGAGATTTTCATAATCTTTCTATAAGGTGATTTCTTTCATATGTTGTAAATCATTCGCTTTAATTTGTGCAGTAGATTCAACTTTAACACTATTAAGTGTTCCTTCTAAATATCCAGATTTACTACCGTTAGTTTGTTCGATTGATCCAGAAGGAGCAACAGAATGTCATCGATCAGAACGTTAGCAACTTTTTTCCAACGTTAAGAATTTCATCTTTTATTGCCAATGTTTGAAGTGACTTCCCTCAAACATGAACGATTTCTCAAAGACAATATCCGCAAAAGTACCAATAATTTCTTCGGTAGCCATGGCAGTTTGTAACGTCTTAAAATTGTTGTTTTCGGATTTTAAAATATTTGTCACCAAAGAAATTATCAGGTTGAGTCGCAGACTAAGTCGCTCTCTTTAAGATGTTTCGCAACACTGCTCAAAATTATGCAAAGCAGTCGAACTACCGCGCTGCCTCTAGGATAAAGTAGTCCATTTCTATACTGTACGGTTACTATTTGCATAGTAGATAGTCAGTCTAGTAATACTGCGCCGTCTCTAGGATAAAACAACTCAGTTCTATACTATACGATTACTACTTGCATGGTAGATAATCGGTCTAGTAATACCGCACCGCCTCCAAGATAAAACAACTTAGTTTTATACGGTACGATTACTACTTGCATGGTAGATAATCGATCTAGTAATACACCCTCTGATGGTACAAGACCATTCAAATATGATATCAACACCACTCGTAGTATCTGGTATAAAGACCAGTCATAATAATTTCTCAAACAAAAAAAAACTCAAATAATTCTCTAAAGAGAAATTAATAATGGTCATTTAACCACTCATAATAATTTCTCCAATAAAGAGAAATTCAAATAATTCTCCAAAGAGAATCCAAAAAATTAAACTTAAAAATTTCTCAACTCAAATGAGGAGAAATTAACATAATTCTCTAAAGAGAATTCAAGAAAATACTCGGAAAATTCAACGAGTAGAAAGAAAGGGGAAGAAGATGGCGCTTCAACAATTCGAGAGACGTAGAGTTATGAGAGTGAGGAAGGAAAAACTAATAGAATAATTTTTTGTGTAATTTGGAATGAAACATGTGTACTCCTTATATAGTGAAGTAAGGTAGTTAATATTTCTCACATGAGCAATGTGAGACTAAATGGTTTTTTTCAACCAAAAAGATATTCTAACAATGTGAGACTTGAAAAAAATTTAAATTCAACACATTGGAACATGTTGCAACAGAGATGTTGGGGGTTTGATGCTCCATGGCTCAACTAAGGGACTAATGTTATGGATGAAAATTTTTGTAAGGACGAATCATTAAAGGAGAGACCAAAAACATATTTAACTTTTATTTTTTTTAATAATTATTTTAAATACTTTATTTAATTCTTTCTAAAAACTTGCCATTTTATCAATTTTCAATATTTTAAATTTAATTCATATTGATTATGACTTCCTCGGCCACTTTCTCTGCATATCATTAATTTCTTCTTCTTCATTCCTGTATCTTTACTTTCTTCGTACCTTCACATTTTTTCACTAAGAAAATCTTATTACCACAGTATAATTATCATTTTTAATATTTTTCAGCCATATAATAATTTATTAAAATTTTTGTTATGAGTTTGTTTCTGTTAGATTATATATATATATATATATATATATATATATATATATATATATATATATATATATATATATATATATATATATATTGACCACATTATATGTTGTAGTTTTCGATTAATAATGTATCACCGTATCAGATACGTATCGTATCTGATACTCGTATCGTGACCGTGCTTTATTGCCGCCCACTATATTGGGGCTATAACATAGCAAAATTTGAATAAATAGTTATTTTTCTGCAACACACAATCAGCAGCAATGTTGCTTTAGTGATATTTGAGCAAACCGCTATTTCTTGAGATCAGAGATTGACAATATCGAAAGAAACAGAAATGTAACAGCAAGGAGTTCTCTAATAGTATAAGAGTACAGCACCAAATAAAAGGAATACAATTTAGAGCCACTGTAGACAAACTTTTGATTGATATCTTGTTATTAAGTAGAATCAACATATATGATTTACAAAATGATTATACAATAATAAAATATAAAAATGCTTCAAGCTGATGGCCTAAATGTCCCATGCCAAATCATGAGAGGAACAAACTAATGACAAGTTCAGATATTTCAAAATAACCTCTGCTGGAGTTTGAATGGAAAAAGAGCACGGTCTTGTTGATGTGCAAATTCTCAAGTGTGTGTGAATGAATGAGATAGGTTGTTAATCCCGCATACCAAGTTCAACCTCGAGTTCATCATCGTCTTCAAACAGCTTCAAAAGACGAGCATGCTGTTCTTCTCTCTTCTTCCTTTGCCATAATTTGAATAGAAAAACACCGGATGCTATGACTGCTACCACACCAAGGAATACAAAAAGTATCTTGAGACCCGTAGAACCTTTGGAAACATGTTCACTCACATTTTTATTTTCACCTTTGGGATCTGATGGGTTGGGGTCGGCTAGGCCTTCAAGAAAACAAAGTTTCTTGTAAGAAATCAAATCAAATAACAAAAATTTCTACACAATTTATTTATTGATTCCCAAGAGTATGCAGGACATAATATTACAAGATAAAAATCTATTAAGGTAAAGACTTATAGCCTGTTTGTTTTAGTTTCAGAGGATGCAAAATTGTTCAATGAGAAGCAAGAAAACCCTGCTTCGATAAAAGTGTGTCGATCTTCAATATGTTTTAAAGAATCTCGAAAACACAATTAGTATGTGTTTGTTTAGGTGTTAACAGACTCCAAAATGCTTGTTTAACCCGTAGCTAATAGTTCTAGATTTCACTTTTAAAAGCATTTGAAGGTGTGCATCAGTGCTAAAAAACTCTCAGAGCAACTCCAGTGATAAACACTAGAATATCCCTATCATCTTTTTACGGCCCTACTATGCCAATTCAGTTTTAAGGACACAACTTAGAAACAGTACCTTATGTACTTTTCATGCTGTTAACCTCTTAAAATTTAACAACTAACTCCAGTTATGCCTGTTACAGCTGTAGAACTTCCCCATTAGACACAATAAGAGAAACACCCTCAGCAACCACTAGATTTCAATATAGATTGTTACTAATACAGCACCAAGCACAATCTTGGAGAAGCAATTGTTATCATTTTATCCAGATTAACGATATACTTGAAGGAAACCACTCATCGCTTTTTTCTATTTCGTATTTCAACAAGTCACTGGAAGATCAAGGTATTAGTTGTGGTTTCATAAGAAAAGGCATAAGCTTTTGGATGAAACCAATTTTAAAGATAAAGCACTCAGCACAAAGATCAACCTAAAATTCACGCACCACAACATAAAAATACTCACTACCACAAATTATTATTAATTTCTGGTCAAGACTATCCTTTGGAATAAGAGATAAATTTGCATTTATACTGCATAATATGCTAGATGAAGATCACATGAGTGAGTAAAACAAGGTTAAATTATCATCAACCGGAAAATTCTGATATATAATCTGCATATTACGTCAGCAGTTGTTGACTGTTGCCACGGTCAGTTACTGTACAACACAAAGTAACAGAGGTACAAGCTTAACATGAGGTTGAAGATTAATAGTTATTGGGCTGTCAGACATTGATAATGCGATCGAGTTGTTAAAGTTTAAGAGGTTAACAGTATAACCAGAAACACAGGGTAACGTTTTCTAAGTTTTATCCTCTTAAGAATTTTAATTACTTGTCACTCCAATTCATTAACACCTTAAATTGACTATACAAAGTTACCCCAAATCTGATGTATCTGATGTTGTTACTATAGACAAATTATGTCTTAATGTATGTATAAGAACCAATCCTTATAAACCCCCAAGGATTAGCCTGTTGGTGAAGGCGGCTTAGGACATGAGAGTGTGCTCCTCTCAATTTCGAATCTCGTTCGGTGCAACCAGTCTTTGTGTTGACACAGTCCATATTATGGACTCCATACAAAGCCTTGCTATATACCTTTAAAGGGGTCCCCTGCTAGTGGACACTGGGATTGGTCCCATTGGATTAGTCGGTCTCAAAAACCTTTGATCTCCTTATCACTCTAGTTCTAACTCTACCGCCTAAATCACCAAGACCAAGTCAATCTTACATATCTCATCTTTCTTCAAACTACAATACTCAGAAAAACACATTCTTAACTAAAAAACCTAGCAAGATCTCGCCCTTGCAGACGCTCTTAGGTATCAACAAACTTGTCAAAATAGTGAAATTCTCAAACCCAAAACATTTACATTTCAAAAATTGATCCAAAAAAAAAAAATCTTTCTCACCATTGAACAATTCAATAACTATTTCAACTATTCCATTAACAAACAACATGATAAATTATCATCACAAAAGAACAAAAAAAAAAACCCTAGAAAACAAAAAAATCACAAAAATGAACATTGATTCAAACAAATCGACGAGAGAGAAAGCGATACCAGAAAGGAATTGCAGTTGCAGAGAGATCAAGGCAAAGAGGAAAGGGTTTCGCGGAGATCTTCGAGGTTGCATCATGCCTCTTTCTTTCTCTCTCTAGAAAATCACTTTCTCTCTCTAGAAATTCTAGTTGGGATGTTACTTCAAAACTGTTTCACAAAGCTGCGATCTAACATCAAACTCCAGCTACGTTATTTGCGTTTCTTTGTTTTTCTGCGAAGACACTATTATATCTGATTTTCACACATTTATTCAACTTTTTTTTTTGGTCTAATTCAACTTTGTATTTTTTTTAGGTCTAATTCAACTTTGTATTTTTTTTATTATATATACATTATTCAGTCATAAAATAATTACTGATAAATAAAAGAAAATTGAAAACAATAATTAAATTATTTTTTATTTATTTTTTTGTAATGTATAAAAATAATAAGTTTTGAATTTTGACATAATTTTACATTTAATTTTATCCTACATTTAAATTCTTTTATTTATAATTTCTTTTTCATATTTCAGATAAATTTTTATATTGAATCGAATCATTTCTAATATAATTTTAATTCACGAATCAAATAAATTAAATATAAATAAAAAATTAAATTCATTAATTAAATAAATTAAATTTTTATATATAATTTTATTTATTAAATTTATGAGTCAATTCGATTATATATATATATATATATATATATATATATATATATATATATATATATATATATATATATATATATATATATATATATATATATATATATATATATATATATATATATATATATATATATATATATATATATATATATATATATATATATATATATATATATATATATATATATATATATATATATATATATATATATATATATATATATATATATATATATATATATATATTTCACACGCATGTGTTTAAGAGATTTACTATAAATCTAAATCTCTATTTTCTTATCATTTTTGTTTTATATTTTATTTTTATAAAAAATTAAAAATATCAAATACTTAAAAATAAATTAGATTGTAAAAAAAAAATCTTATAAGACCATAAAATAAATAAGTTAAATCTAATTAGATTAATTTAATAAGTTAAATTGAATTGTTTGTGAATTTAAAATGAGTTGAATTTAAGTTTAAAAATAATTTGAGAGGAACTCAAGTTAAATTTTGAATTCAATCAATTATTATCAAATTATTGCTAATTAAATTAGATGATTAAATGATTGATTTCAACTTAATATTAATTTTTATTACTGATTTTGATTATAAACTATATATAAAGTAGAATGGTAGTATGAAAAAGAATATTACTATAAAATCTTATTACACCATAATCTTACTATATAATAGTATAATGTAATATATAATCTATATTAAGTTACATGATTTATGATTTTTGTTTTTGGACTGTGCAAAATTAATCTTATATTATTTGACAATCGAGTATAAAAGATAATTTATACTTAATATTTATATATTTTAATCTAACAAAAATATTATTTTTTAAAATATAAAATTATGGAAATTTTTACACTAAAAACAGATGATATTCAATAACCGCACTGCACAATTTTAAGATCGATCAAAAGAGCTTTAGCTTAGTTTTTGTATTTGAATTTCACCATCTATCTAAATGCAAACAGACATGAATTAGGGATAAAAATATTAATAATGAGATATAACAGCTCAATTTTTGGAATGTTAATTACAAAATTAATTGATGAGTTACGGTGCAAAATTAATATATATAATAAAATTAGCTTATAGTAAACTTCAGAATTTAAAAAAGAAAAAATCAATAAGTTTCTTAGATTTTCTCAAAATGACAAATCAGAATTGTCTTACAAATCAATTAGAAATGGAAATATAAAAGAGGCATGACCAAACATTTGATCTTCTTACTTCCCAAATATATGATCTAAAAATGATTATAATTTGGGTTGTTTGTGGAGAATTCTACCAACATTACTTCCCAAATAATAAAGTTTACACGTTATTATACTCTTCACAGACTGTTAGTAATTTGGCCACCAGATCATAAAATTTCAACAATGCCTCAAAGTCTCTAAGTACGTCTACATCTTGGTCTAATTATCCAAATGAGAAATGTTATTTAGACACCTGTCCAATACCCTATATTTATACTATTTTGTATACAATGTCATTTTTTATTTATTTTATTCTTTCTTTTTTAGTCATATCAATAGTTATAAATAGTGTATATGTATTTGGTGTCGGAATACGGTGTTTATATTTGGATGTTCAAATAACACCACTCTATCCAAATATCAATACTTTACAAAGCAAAGACAATATCCATCATTGAGAAATACTCAGCAATGTTTCATCCGTTAGAATTTAAAATCAATTGGTTAGTAAAAATGAAGAGTTTGAATATGGAGAGTGAGAGAAATAGATAGAATGAGAGAGTTAATTTAGAGTATAAATATTTTTATTAATATTGATAACAATATCTTCAAGATATTTAAATGTTTTATAAGTGGATTGGGATACAAGTTATATTAGTCAAATAACAGGAAAAAAATTAAATTTTCGGATTTGTAATTGATTACACAAAACATGTGTTATGTAACCAGTTATAGCGGCTAAAAACCAAAAATATCAATAGTGGTAACCGGTTATTGCGAATGTGTAACTAATTACCCCAACGATAGTATCACTTTTTCTTCAACTTATTTGACTTTTTGACATGTCTGTAACCGGTTACACAACCGTGGTAATTGGTTACAGCACTTGAATTACCAAAATTCTCTTAAGACACCACCTTAATTCAAGTGCTCTAAGTCTTCCACGCTCATGTTTATCTTCAACCTCTTGAACACTTCAATTGTGACTCCCTTGGTTAAGAAATCAACAATTTGCTCTTCGCTTTGACAATATCTCAATCATAACCTTCCTTCCCTAACAAGATTTCTCAAGTATTGCTTCCCCCATGTGCAATTGAGTTCTTAGTAAGGTTTGTAGAAGAAATATTATCAACCATGAGCGTTACAACGTCATCCTCATCATTGTCCAACTCCTTCAATAGATTAATTAATCACACGACTTGGCACACACACAACGAAGCGACAATATACTTGGACTTATAAGATGATAGTGTTACTATCGGTTCCTTCTTCGAACACCATGAGATTGGTGTTTCACCGAACATAAAAGATGTATCCAGTTGTAGATTTTCGATCATTTTATCTTCCCATCAATTGGAGTCGGTAAAACCGAGTAAATTTCATTTTTTGTCCGCTGCCCGAAAGAGAATCGTGCGTCTAATATATCATTTGACGTATCTTAGAATCCTCTTGACTGCAGCCAAGTGAGACACTCTCGGTCTATCCATGAATCTACTCACAATAGAGACAATAAACGCCAAATTTGATTGCATATTGCACAAGTAACAAAAGGATTCAATCAGCCTCATATATTGTGTTGGATTCACCTCTTTCTCATCCCCATTCTTAGACAATTGTAGCCTTAGTTCAACTGGAGTAGTGGCAGCATTATAATGCTCCATTTCAAACTTCTTCAACATTTCAAGAGTGTGCCTTCTTTGGTGCATGGGCATTCCCTTTATGGACTTGTGGAACTCAATGCCAAGAAGGTATGTCATGAGATCAAGATCGACCATCTCTAATTCTTTCATAAGCTCACTCTTGAACTTAGATATACACTTTTCATCGATGCTCGTGATTAACAAGTCATGTACGTATAGACAAAGGATACTCATTTCATTCACTTATATTTGTCTTCACATACACACCATACTTAGATACACATTTCTTGAAGCCAATCTCATTTGAAACCATCTATCTTTTTGTTCCAAGCTCTTGGATCTTGTTTCAAACCCTACAACACTTTCTTCAACTTGTAGAACTTTGACTCTTGGTTTATCACAACAAACCCAGAGGGTTTCTCAACATAAACCTCTTATTTGAGCGGTTCGTTCAAAAATGAAAATTTGACATTCATTTGATAGATGGACCAATTGTTATTCACAATACCTACAATTAGTCTTATGGTTTCAATTCTAGAAATCATTGAAAATACCTCTTCAAAGTCTATGCCTTCACTTTATAAAAATACATTTGCAACTAATCAAGCCTTATGCTTGATTATTTCACCCTTGGAATTTTCGTTCACCATATAGACCTATCTTACACCAATCGACTTCTTTCCTTCCGATAGAACAACTAACTCCCAAGTATTATTTTTCTCAATTGATTACAGCTCCTCCTTCATAGCACAAATCCACTTTGGATCATTTAAGGCCTCATCTGTCTTAACAGGTTTGGCCATAAGTGAAAAATGGACAAAATCACCATCATCATTGACTTCATTATCTTGGAACATCTCACAATCTTGAAGTATTAGAGGCAAACCTCTTTTCCTTTTTGATCTTCTCATATTCTCTTCAATTAGAGCTTCTACCGGGGTTGGTTTCACACTCTCAAAATCTATAGAATCTGAATTTTCGATGTTGTAAGCGGTTATAGCTTTTACGTAATTAGTTACAGGCTACTGCAGCTCCTTGAATTCTTCAACAATGAGGTCTCGGATGATAATAATCCTCATATTTGATACATCATACAACTTTTAACCACTGATAGATTGATACTCTACAAGTATCATCAATTTTTCCTCATCATATAGCTCTTTCTAAGCTTCCCAGGCACATGTCGATACGCTATGGAACCGAAAATTGTCAAGTGGTTCAGATTCAGTTTGAATCTGGACCATGCCTCTTCCGGTGTTATCTTCTCAAGCTTCTTTGTTGGATTCCTATTCAACAAATAGACAACTACGGATGCCGCTTCTCCCCGTAACTATTTCAGTAAGTTCTTCCTCTTTAACATGTTTCTCAGCATGTTTAATAATCGATCGATTCTTCCTTTTGGAAACACTATTTTATTTCAGTGTATAGGGTGGTACTACCTCATGTGATATCCCATATTGATCATAAAACCTCCCAAAGTCATTTGAGACGTATTCGCCTCCACCATCCGTTTTGAGAACTTTGAGCTTGTGACCGCTTTGTCGCTTATAATAGACTTGAACTTTTTAAA